GAGCTCAATTTTCTTCTTCTTGGAGGGGATTGGTCGAGCACAATGATGAGGAAGGAGGTAGGAAGTGTCCTTCTTTGTCTTGGTTGACAAATAATGTGTGTGGGTGAGGTCCACACCTCAAATGATCCCATTCCAATCAACTTAGCTCCATCCTCACATGTTGTGCGGCCACACAAGTCCCATTTGAGACCCAAAAACGTGGGGTGGCCCCCACTCATGTGGGAGATCATCCCAACTTGTCCCGAAATGTACAATCGGCCCCGAAAGTTGTATTTTTCAGACTGTTTTAAATATATTTTATTTTATCGGGTCAAATAAAATATATTATGTGCTCTCAATCGTAATGGCCTTTTGAAATAATATGTATTCCAAAACATTAATTTAGAAATCTCCGAAATTCATTTTCGGGCTGTTATCTGTTAAGTTGTCGGTACCGGTATTTGGGCCTCTTTTGCCCAATCGGTCAACTCTGGGCCTTTTCACGACCCAAATAAAATATCCACCACTATATAAATATTATTTCGACCCATAAGAATGATTTATGTTCTCTCGGGAATGTCGGGTGGCCCCCCGCTCCCGGTGTGGGTCCCACGTGCAATTTACTATTCACGCGAAAGAAATAATAAAAATTTACAACTTCGTAAATTCATTAATCCTTTAATAAGGTTCAATACATTATTTACATGAAAGTAAATATATTTGGGGACGGTGTTACAGATTTGAGCGGCGCAGTGGTTGTTTTGAGCGGCGTTACAGTTAATCTGGACGGCGGTGCAGTTGATATGGGTGGCGGCTATGGCTGTGGGGTGGGGTGCGGCTATTGGGATGCTGGAGAGGGGCTAGGCCTTGGAAAGGGGTGGTCCGCTAGAAGGTTTTGGGTTGGCGGTAGTCACCGCTGGGAGGCGGCGATTGGGAGGGTAGGCAGTGGAACAGGGGATGGTCACTGTCGGGCTACTGTGGTCACTCTCGGATTGGGTAATTGTAATTAATTGGTCGGGTGAGTTCACTTTAAATGGTCGGTTCGGGTAACAGTAACTGGTAAGTTCGGGTAACTGTAACTGACCGGGTCGAGTAAATGTAATTGATTTGGTTGATTAATTGTAATTCTCCGGGTCAAGTAATTGTAACTGATTGAGTCGGGTAACTGTAACTGGTCAGATCAGATAACTGTAACTGGTCGAGTCGGGTAATTATAATTGGTCGAGTCGGTTAAATGTAACTAGTCCGGTCGGGTAACTGTAACTTGTCGGTCGGGTAACTGTAACTTGTCGGTAGGATAACTGGTTAGTTAGGTAAATGTACTTGGTTGAGTGGATAATTGTAACTGATCGAATGGATAACTATAACGGGTCGAATCAAGTAATTATAAAATGTAACCGGGTAATTGGGTAATTGTAAACAGGGAGGTGTAAAATAATTTAAACAGGGAGGTGTAAAATGTCAAATATCTCTTTTAGTCCTTGTTAGCATCTTGGAAATTGCTTGAACGAAGAATACGTGGTACTACGTAGTACGTACATATGTAGTTTGCTAGCAGGTATATACGTATTTTCCATTCCCGTTTTTAAAGCGGTGCTGCCGAATGGTTCGTTTTATGGAAATGAATGAAAGAGGTTCTATAATTGTCCAAATGCTTTTAAATAGTAATATTTATGACCTAAACCCTATATACTTCCTCTGTCACATAAAATAGCTCCTAGTTTGACTTTTGGAGTTTAAAAGGGCGAGAATAAAACGAAAATGTACTATTATGATTGAATATGAAAAATGAAATAAATAATACTCACCAAAACTGTCCTAAAAAATAATTGAAACTATTCTTTGAAACAGGTAAAATAGAAAGCGAGAAGTGAGATTTTTTGAAGAAAAATTGGGCATGCTCAAGAGTCAAGACTAGCTAGACATAAGTGATTCATCTTTCGAGAGAAGAGATTTGAGGGAGAGAGATGAGCGGAGCTGTAGCATCCGCGTCGTACCTAGCTCGGAGAGCAGCGCAGAAGGAGAGAGTGCGGATTCTCTACCGCCGTGCCCTCAAAGACACGCTCAACTGGGCCGTCCATCGCCACCTCTTCTATAATGATGTACTCTTCCCCCTTTTATAGGGCTTCCTCCGATTCGATCTACACTTCTTCTTTTTCACTCGCTTAACCCCTAACTGGAGATGTGTTCTTCTTTCAGGCCGATGCTCTCAGGCAGAGGTTCGATGCTAACAAACACGTGGTTCGTCTGCATTTCCTTTTCCTCCCAAATTACATTTATTTTTTCGAAATTTGCAGTTAATTTGCGTTCATTTGTGTGTCAAAGCCCAATTACTGGCTAGAAATGGTTGTGGCTAACCTAATTTGACTACACTGTATGATCACTTCAGTAATTTAAAAAATGCCTGATTTTTATTATGAGGGAGTGTGGGGGGAATTATATCTCATCTCAATTGTCTGTGCCAGTTGGTTGTGAATACATACTGAAAATAGTAGTTATGCTTTGATTGTGGTCATAGCTTAGGTAATTATAGCAAACTTGAATCTTGGGCCCTTGTTGAATGGTGATCAGGCCTTATCTACTTAAAGCTGCTTTACTTTAACAATTTTAAATATTATTCGGGTAATCAATATTTTTCAGTATCATATTTCTCGCTCCTAGAGCTATATCCACACACAATGTTGCTATCATTACCTTTTGATGACACCCAGGAAGATATTGAAACAATTGATAAGATGATAGATGATGCTGAAGCCAGCTATAATAAGTGGAGGCATCCTGATCCTTATATTGGTAAGTTAGTTTTTCTTCTATGACAAGGATTGTAACTACATGATTAGCTTGGGCCCTTCTCAGGGTGGTTGTGACTTTCGAGTTGTCAGTTTTTCAGTTATGTTGAAACCAAGACCCATGAGTAGTTTTTGTTTACTATGCAACTAAAATCTGGCAATTTGCAACCATCCTGAATGGTGGCTTGTTTCACCTTGAAAAAATATCTCATTTTATTTCTCGTGTAAATTAACAGTTCCCTGGGCTCCTGGTGGTAGCAAATTTAACCGCAATCCAGAGCCTCCTTCTGGGGTAAATTGCTCGAGCTTTTCTCCTCCTTACTATCCTTTAGCAAACGTATACTGAATATTTATTCATACTTTTTTTCTATAGTATGATTTGTTAAATGCACTTTAAGATCTAACATCCAAACTCATCACTGAAATTCTTGTTTTTGCTTGGTGATGCAGATTGAGATAATTTATAACTATGGCAAGGAAGACAATGATTAAGGATAGTCCTGAATCCCTTCTCAATGAAGTAATTTGAGGTTAGAATCTTTGTTCTAAAAACAGGGCCTAGACCTAGTGCCCTAGTCGGCAAAAAAGTGGGTTGCTTATTGCATAGCCTATGCTGCCAACTTAGCCAGCCAGGGTGCCTTGACCCTTTGTTTCCACCACTCAAGCTCAAGCCTAAACACATCAATCGATCATTGTTCATTATAATGTCTTAATTTGTTACTCTTTTAGTACTAAAAATATGACTTTTGGATGTACATGAGACATTTCTATCACTTGAGAAATCAAATTCTCATTATATTCTAATTTTGTAATGTAGAAAATTTGCAAGAATAACCCCAATTATTTCCAATCTTCTTTAAATAATCCCGACCATCAATTTTTTTTACCATCTGGTGTGGTGATTTATTTGACACTGAGAAATTGTGGATTGACTGACAGGCTTTGAATTTCTCAGTTTGCCCTTTTTACATGGCTGCTCATCTAACTGTTATTGTAGCCTGTAGACAGTCTTATAAATGCTTTTGTATGTAATGTTATAGACATTCTTACATATGTACTGCAATTATTTGTTTCCATTATGAATGTATGGATGTTTTCACTGCAGATTTCAGGAGAGCACACACATTTTAGAAGATTCTGATCCATGTTTCGCGTTCCCTTAGTGAAGCTTGTGTACTCAACTATTAATAAAATACAAAGTTCAGATTTTTGTATTTTGATGAGGCAGTGTTTGTACTCTTGTTTAACTCAAGATTTGCTCGCTTGGTAGCTTATTGGTTTATAAGCTTGCAGGTTTTATTGAATGTTATCTTGCAAACAAATCTTTAAATTTGTATAGATCAAATTGGAAGTGGTCTATGTTATTTCAGTTACTCGTAGAGTCGCAGTGGATCTCAAGTTTCAACATTATTATTTAAAAAAAAACGTGACTTTTTTGTGATTTAGTCATCAGATGAGAAATTCCACCATTAAGAGCTAAATTGGGTAACTCCAGGTAATAACCCAGTGCCTTGCTTCAGGTAAATCCTGACTATCCCTATAATGCATTATGAAAAAAGTCGCATAAGAACTCTAGTAGAGTAATAGCAATGGTATTTGGGGGGGGGGGGGGGGGGTCGACCAAGCAAAAACCTACTCATGCATGTCCCAACTCTCAAAGATGTGTTGGGTTGTGTTTGTATTTTGCTTCTGGCATTCCCCATGTGCTGTGTGTATGTATACTTGCATTATTGCTTTCGGATTTTAGCAAGGAAGTTGTAATATGATGAGATTTGAAGCTTTAAAGGATTGTCCTCAATGGCTCCATCCCTATCATCAACTTAAAATGCAATGTTGGTGCGTTGACATGTTGTGGACTTGTGGTTGGTCTTAGACTCTTAGGTGGCAAGACGAAGTAGAAAGAAAGCTATAGCGGGTGAGGGGTGATGCATGAAGGATGGCCATTCGAGCCGCCACCTCCGATAACCACCAGTGTAACACAATGCACAGAGTGGCATGTCAATATGTCATCAACGACAGTACAACATTTTGCATCCCAGGTTTTATTCAACAATACTTGGGAGTTGGGACAGTGAGAAGCAAAACCAACAAATCTAAATAATTGACAGCAAAACCAACAAATCTAAATAATTGACTTTTTTGGCTCAATCACTAGATTATTACGGAGTATAACCTAATATGACAATAAAATTAAAGAAAATCGAAGAGAACTTCACAAGCATAAAGATGGACAGGTAAAGAAGACTGGAAAAAAGCCATCCACTGATAAAGATTAGCAGCATATTGACAATTCTATACAACCCTGAAATTCCTGAATACTGTTGATATACATTAGCAGCAAAAAGTCCAGCAAGATTCCTCCTCACCATCATTAGTACATTTACAAGGACCCCTCCCCAAATCCCCTTGACATGTATATGCAAAACACTGAACAAAGATGATCCGAATGCCACAAAAGAAACCTTATGACATAGATGTTCTAGACAGTCTTGTTCTTGTTCTTCTTCGAAAGAGGCCAGCTCCCCTTCTTCCTCAATCGACGCTTCCTATTGAGCTTCTTTCTTCTCAGTCTTATGTTCTTTCTCAACTTCATCTTCATCTTATGCTCAAGCTTCAGCTGAAGCTTTGGCTCCAAATGGAGGTTCCCAACAGCCAAACATTCATCATCAGTGTCCAAGGGGAGGAGATCCGGATCGTCAGGGTCCACAACACCACCGCCATCAGAAGCTGTATTGAACACCACCCATGCACCACTTATCTCTTTGAAAGTAGGGCGTTCACTAATCCGGTAGATGGAGTTTGATTTCAGAGATAGGAGAAGCTGAGTTTCATAAGTCCTGGAGACTGGTAGAATACAAACTACTTTAGACTCCAGACATTCTAAAATATGATTTCAGAAAACAAAATTGAACGTATTGTTGACATAATTTTTACTCTTTTTTACTGTTTATTGGTCCAAGCGATCAAAGGAAAGTAAAGAACACCCTAAATTGTCTACCAAGTCTCTCTCTCTTTCAAGTTTCATCAGCAACAGTCCTTCAGAGTCCATAGTATCATAAATTAATAACTGTAAGATGTAAGAATCTCGCATCTAATAATCGCAAATGCTGGATAGAAGAGAAGCTTACAAAGAGAAACTAGAGAGACTTACATTGTCGAGAATAGAGAAGCTTATGTGGTTGTGAAAGCAATGGTTGGGGAACGGCGACAGTTGCTCCCGTAAACCAGATCAGATCGGCCGGCGTCATCTCTCCTTCTGGATTATGCTCCCAAAAAATACTGTAATACCTATTCAGCCATAGCCGGATTCTGGGAGAAAATTTTCAAAATGGGGCTAATATGTTGGAACCGATTCTCCTTAAAAATGTTCGAACCAGACAGGACATTAGGCATTTCTGGAGTCATGGACCCGTCCTCGGTTTCTGATTGAACCGGACTCAAAACCAAACTGCCACTTTTAAAAGTTTTTCAAAAATATTATTGAAATAACTTATTTACAAATATGATTAATAGTTATTGTAATATAGTTTCATGGTCACATAAGTGTAAAAATTGAACATAAGTTACTAATATTAATTTACTACTATAATCACTACATGCAAGAGGTTATATTTTGGTGAACAATCTATATTTAGTAGGGATGGACCGGTTCCGTGTCGACCGGCCCGTGGCCCGTTCCGGTCCATGCCTATATTTTAGTCATAAATATATATTAAAAACATCCAAACAGGATCCGAAATTGCATAGTGCCTCTGATTTGGAAATGGAAGTTCACTAAGCTAGCCCAATCTGGTTCATGACCTTTCTAATTAATTAATTAATTAGTAATAATAATTGTTGGTGTTATACTAACAACTAGTACTATACTCGTGCGATGCATGGGAAAATATATTTCTCATATGAAAAAGTAGGGGTTTTAATAATACATACTCCGTATAATATATACAGAGTATATAATTTAATAACTTCACGTATATGAATTTAATTGTCGTAATGTAATATTATGAACATTAAATATAAACAATTGAAAAAAAACTAAGAAATAATTTTTTTCAATAATAAAAGTATATTAGTAGGTAAAAGTATAAGTAAAAGTTATAAGTGTTTTACAATTGGGGTTAGGTCTGAATATTAGGCCGATCACCGCCACCGACCACAATGACATCTCTGCTGCCGGGTGTCATTGAAGCTCCAGAGTTCTGTGGTTAAATAGCAGTCATATCTTTCTTAAAACCAATTGATGATAAAGAAGTGGACACCCTCTATTTAACCCATCACTCTGTAATCCCCAAGTCAAGGTAGATTCCCGTGGGGCACCCCCCACAGTTCACTACGGCAGTGCAGAGCCCCACTATTGAGCGGTGGATGGACATGAGGGGCTGCACCACTTTATGGTGCCAACAGGTTGGGCGGTTAAGCCTTGAATCAAAGGGTGGTGCTGATCTCCCATAAGACCAACAGACACGTCACGTCGCTGTCGGCCACAGTGACACCTACACAGTGACACCTCCGCTGCCAATGTCATTGACGCCGCCGCCTATGTGACTATGTTCACCACAATGACACGCTACGCCACCTCCTGTCACAGTGATACGCCGCCTCAGGTCACAATGACATGCCGATTTCGGCCACGATGACACATGTAATTTCTGTAATGTTGCATTTTTATTTAAATATGAACTTAATATTAATTATTTATTAAGTCAATCCAAAATACCATACGTCATTAATTCAAGTGATTGCTTTCAAACTATTGATTCAGAAGAAAAAAAAGTATTTTGAAATCTTGATTTGAATAATAGTTGTGATAATATTTAAGTAATTAGTGTATCCATGTATATCAATAATTTAAAGATTTTATTATGATACGGAGTATTATTTAAGTAATTAGCACATAATTTCAGATGAAAATATTGATATCTTTATTCACTCAATCAAGCACACCATTTTCTGTTAATTTTAAAATCTTTGATTTGTGAAAAAATATGATCATTCGTTTAAGTAATTCATATAACCAAATATATATCTTAATCACACTAAATACTTTTATATGTCCGGGAAAATTGTAAATTGTAGCATTTGTGTTATCTTTTACATTCATTTACTTATCTAAATATATTCTTTTTAAACGTTCTGCATATTGACCCGAGATATTTCACAAAAGAATAAAATCACTAAAGTCACAATTTATGTTTTTTTTATAATAAAGAATGAAATATCTGAATTCATAATTTAGACAATTTAGATGACACGTACATGAAATAACTAAAGTCATAATTCTTTAAATGTAAAATTGTCATTTGTTCTTCATTTATTTTCTTCTCTAAATGCATTCTTAATAAATGTTCTAGTTTAGTCTAGTTTTAAAATCTAAAACAAAATATTTAGCTCTAAAAAAGAAAAAGAATCACTCATACAAGCACTTAACTTTCTCCTAAAACTATTTATCTTTCCATATGTGCAAATGTTCTCTTCTTTGCCCACGTTCAAGAAGTGCTCAGACAAACCACCAATCCACCATCTCCCCGTAGGCGCATACACTCTGCTACAGTACCCTTCAAATTAGTATTCTTTCCTTCTTATTTTTTATTGATCAGATTAAAATCTAGTAATCTTGAACTTACATCTCTAGTTTCTAATACACTCTGTAGTCTGTACCGAAAAAAATTGTCCCGACTTTTCGTTATTAATGAGAATTATAATTGTATTGAATACACTCTACTATACCCTTTAAATTGACTTTGACCAATGATATTTTTGTACCCGTGCAATGCACGAGACATATTTTTCTTAAATGTGTGTGTTTCCAAACATGTTTTCAATCAATGTAATTTTTAAAAATTATAAATTAGATTAGAAGTATAGTACAAAGTAGTAAAATGCAAAATGTAAAGAACTATTTTACAAATTTTATGATCAAATATTTTCATAGTATCAATTGATACTATGAACGAAAAAATTGATCATAGTATCAAATTTGCAAGTTTATTGGATTCACAATCTAATTTATTGGATTTAATACTTCATATGAAATTGAAATTGTCACTTTTCATCCATATAGGTCTCATTGTTTTGAGTTTCAATGCATCTGCTCAACCATTATAACTGTTCAAATTAAATTGTGTATTTTTATAGGACGTGAAGGCATGGTGTTGAACTTTTCCTAATGCATCGATCTATATAATAAAAACTCAGTGTCCATGCCTTTTTAATTCTGCTTTTTTATCATAGTGAACATATAAAAATCTTACTTGAAATTGTTACCATAATTTGATCTAGACATAAGGGTCAGATAGGGTCTCGAACTTGAAAAAAAATGTTAAATAAGGCCATATTTAGGATGCTCTGTCCGACCGACGCCATTTGGGGTGGTTCCCGGTGGAATTTTTTGATGAAATTTTTTGAGAATCTTATTCATTAAGTCTAGTTTACTCATATCAAATTTGAACTAAAACTTTAATCGGGAAGGCATTCAAAGGAATTCTTGAAGATAACGGTACCGTTAAAAGCGCAGTTATCTTCATGAATTCATTTGAATGCCTTCCCGATTGAATTGTTAGTTCAAATTTGATATGAATAAACTAGACTTAATGAATAAGATTCTCAAAAAATTTCATCAAAAAATTCCACCGGGAACCACCCCAAATGGCGTCGGCCGGACAGAGCATCCTAAATATGGCTTTATTTGACATTTTTTTTCAAGTTTGAGACCTTGTCTAACCCTTATCCCTTTGATCTATGTTATACCTTTTTCCAACTCCACACACCTGCCAGCTTGATTTAAACGGTTTAATTTGCTATATTTCATATGCTTAATCCGCACCCAATTTCATAGATAAAGATAACTAAGTACTCGGTATAACAAATTATTATATTGCTACTAATTAACTAATTGTCGGTAGTTAACTAGTGTAATATCCGTGTGATGCATTGGATGATTATTCTCCAAATTGTGAAATAGAGCGTTGACACCTATTTATTGTAATTTAACTACTTATCATCTTTACACTGATAACGATTATATATTCAAAACAATCGAGAAATTCATCGTCTTTAGACTCCACAACTCTTGTCTGTTCAAATAAATTACCTAGTGTCATATTTATTCTTATATATAGTAATGTGTTTCTTTTCTAGTGTTGCCACACTAAATTGTGAATCGAGTCATACAAACCCCTCTTTTAGAAGATTGTCATAGCGCGTCACTATTAAAACTTTCATACAGTTGCATGAACTCTTCTATACTCAAAATTCAAATCGATATTAACAATTGATAAATATAAGTGAACTTGCGTTATGCTTTTCTTTTAATACATCACTTCACCTCAACGCCCGTTGGACATCTTGAAGAAGGAAGAACGAACAACGAATAAGGGGTGTTTGGAACTGATTCTGCTTCTGCTTCTTTTTTAAAAGCAGAAGCAGAATCAGAATCAGTTTTCAGAAGCTGGTACCCCCCAGCTTCTAAAAAAACTGATTCTGAGAGTAAATTAGAGCTCCAGAAGTGCTTCTGGAATTTCACCCAAACACTCCAGCTTCTGCTTCTGCCTCCTGAAGGAGCAGAATCAGTTTTGAGAATCAGATCCAAACACCCCCTAAATATCATTTGAATTTGACGGTAGAGTGAAATAAAAGGCTAGGCAGTGCATGTTTTACGTTTAGCGATTAACGGACAGTGGATTATGTTAACGGGTTATCAATAACAAATTCAATTAGTGGGTTTGACTAACGGAATAAGTTGGCGGATTGTCAGAATATGTTTGTTAATTTAGTAAAAAACGACATATTTTAAAACGCTAACCCAAAACTTTCTTATTTGCATCTTTTCTATTTCAGTGGTTCTGTCAAAAAATGCTAGGATCGAACGGCTATTTATCAAATATGTTTGGTAATTTTTATTGAAACACCATTTTCCACACACTATATAGGCAATAGGTGGAAAACTAAAAGCCTTGCCACTTACAAATAATTAATTTCCCTACGGAAACTAAACGGCCAAGGCAATTAAGTATTCCACTCAGGGCCGTAACTAGGGGGCCAACCATGGCCCCGACCCAGCCCAAATTAAAAAAAATATTTATTTTTAGTATAAAAAATTTCGTGTAATTTTTTTTCAAAAATATTTCTTGTACCGGTCCAATCCGGACTAATGTCATGGCTCTACCCTTTTTTCTAGGGGTGGGCGCGGTCCGGAACGATCCGGTAAATTGGTAAAACCCGTAATGTATTCGTAAGGTTTTTAACGGTCCGGTACGGTCCGGTTCTAAGGATGGAACCGTTCGATACCATGTCATTTCGGAACGGTAGAAAACAGTACGGTACAATGTCAAACACATGCTAAAAAATTTGAACAAATTTTGCAATTAGTAGATATCATCACATTAATCAACTCACATGAA